ATTTAACCCCCACCTGTGGTTTATACATCAAGTTATTTCCCACAGCACAAAAACTCTGTGGGGGTCTGCAAAGGGGGGAATTCAAGCAGAATCCTCTGGCTCAACCAGGGCCTGAATGGGTGATGGATATAGAGAGTACCCCCCTAGATTCTTGAGTCTGTGGCATTCCCCTGCAAGTAAGAGCTGTTAGTCCAACCCAGGCTTGAACCTGCAATAGTCACAACATAGCCAAGCAGGACATGGGATTCGAATTCTGGCCCACAGTGGAACTCCAGCCAAGATCCCACCCCATGCCATGTGGCTAGGGTGGACAGAAAGCAGCCAAACACATAAACCAGGAGCTAGCCAGCACCACAGGCACTGTAATGATCTCCTTATGATGAGGAAGCATGGCCAAGCACTGTGTCAAGGTAGCCTGAGTGAGACAGAGACTCACAGGCTGGCCTGGGGCTGACCACCCCGAGGTCCATTGAGAAAACAGGGACCCATTCATACCTTGCAACATCAGCCAGAAGATCACTATTAGAGTGAACAGCTTCCATGGCAAGATTTTTAAATCCTTACCCCTTTTCCCTCTCATTTTATTTTCTTCATTTTTCCTCTTGAATTTTGCTTTATTTGTGTGGGGATTGGATGCAAATGGATGGGGAATGAATGAGATCAAGGTACATGATGTGAAAAAACACACAGAATAAATTAATAAAAAAGAAATAAATAACAGGAAAAAGGACTCTGTGTTTGGGTATTGCTTGCCTCTCCTGTCTGGAATGTTCTTCCTATGACTGCTTACTGAGTACCCACTCTTTCTCTAACACCTTCCAAATATACAAACTCCTATATCCCCCCTTGTTCAAGGTGATTCACAATATCTGATCCTGCTGTTTCCTTTTCAGTCCAGAGAAACCCTCAGCTTTGGCTCTTACTTTAAAGTCAGTGAAGCCTTTGCAATTAGTCTTGTTTCTTTTTTTTTCCCATTCCTTCATCTTTCTCCAGTATTTACTGGCAGCTTCTGCATGCCATGTAGTGGGGAAAGACAAGGAAAAGCGCTAGGCAAGTGGTAGATGCGTCTGGGCTGAAACTCTGAGTTGAGAAGTTTTTCATACCTAAGAGGCCAAAAAAGGGCACAGTAGACAAAGTAGTGATAGGAAAGGAATGTGGTGGAAGATGAAGCAGAAAGGGGCCTCCGGGGACCCTTTAAAGAACCTTTCGTATCATCCTATAAAGGAAGGGGAGTCATCAAAAGATTTTAAGAAAGACCCACAGCCTGAGTTGCATTCTGGGAACATTCTTATTGATGGTTGGAAAAGATAAGAAGAAAGAGCAAAGGTCTTTGGAACCCACCACAAATGACTGACAGAGATGGAGCAGGCTGTGGGTCTGACGGTGCAGACTGAAAGTAAAGTCGAGGATTAGGAAGGCATTATTCTATTCAGCGACTGAATATGCCCTGAAAGATTCAGTCATCTTTAATGAAAGTCACTATCTATTTCCCTGCAGTCTGACACTAACAGTGTGGTCTGTGGACTAATATCGCTTCTTCTGGCTAGTTAGAAATGGAGTCACTTACAGAGATTCTGCAGATAGACAAGTTCTTCAGAGGACTCCTGGGCCCATTCAAGTTTGAAAAGCATAGTCCCAGGAGACTCAGTCTCCTAATATCCTAATCACACTGTCAAAGTTGGCAAATCAATATATACATGTAATTATGACTCTATGTATACGTATGTGCACATGTAACACACCCTCATCTTAAGGCTCATGCAATTAGACTAATAAGGAAGACTACAGCTTCCTCAATTCCCACTAGAAGACAATTTGGAACACAGCCGTTTCTCCTGTTCTGTAGAAGTGCTGTCTCTTAGATCTACAGGAGAAATACTTGTTACACTTTCCAGCTAATCATCACTCAAGTTAGATAGAAAGAACAAGAGAAATGTATTGAAATTTGTCAGTAGAAATGTTTAGCGGTGGCACCTAAATCCATCTGATGTCTTGTGACCTCATGAATGACCTCAGTTAATCAATACAGGAAGGTGGGCACAGTGCAACAACACTCTTTGCTTCTTCTTGGTGCCTTCCAGGAAGGACGGTTTAGGAGAAGCCAAGATAAGTAGAGAAGCAGAGTGGCCACACGTGGGTTTTTAATAGCAGCACAGTCTACGGAATGACCTTTCCTAGCCTTCAATTTTCTTTAAAATGAGTTAGCAATCAGGTTAATTGAGTGCTATCTGGGGAGCATGCCTGTGTGTGTGTGTGTGTGTGTGTGGTGTAGGGGTGTATGTATGTGTCTGCGGTGTGTGTGGGGGGGGTATATTTCAGAGGCTCGCACTTCAGAGGCTCCTGTATTGCAGGGAGCTGTTGAAAACGCCCTCCCACTGGTTTCTGGGTCCTCACTGGCCACGCTGGAACTCTGCCTACCCTAACTTGCTGAGATATGTCTGTCATTTTTTGACTGGGTGTGATTCTATCAGCCCAGTGACTTGTCAGGTCCCAAAGAAATTAAAAAAGGAAAAGTCCAGATGGTGACATTTGTGGTGAAAAAGAAAAGTGTCTTTTTCAGTCGAGCTGCCTTCCAATTATTTAAATTTATACAGATTTTATTTATTTATTTGCCATTTTCTCTTCTAAAAGGAGAAAGTTCTGGGCCTGCAAACAGGTTGCCTGCAGCCCTGTATCACTGGTCCTGGCTGCTCACGGCTGGCATGTGGCTTGCGGTGGAGTTGAAGAAAGGTGCCAAGGCTGGCAGGAAGCAAGCCCTGGGCTTTGGGAAATGGCTGTGTCCTAGTGTCCGCTGATCTAGTAGGACTTCTCAGCTCTGCTTCAAAAGATTTAATGCTTTTAATACTACAAAATCCAATGGAATCCTTTGAGCTGTGTGTGTATTTCCTTCCTCTTTATTGAGCCTGGTGCATGCATGCGAGGCCCTATAAAGGTTGTGATTAACGTCCGCTATCAGGGGAAGTGTATGTGTTTCAAGCACTATTTTAAATGCTCTGTGTGCACTGTTTCACTTAATGCCCATAACATCGAGGTAACATTTGTATACATTATTGTTTTCATTTGTTTCTGATAATAAAATGAGAAAACGGGTTTCAGGAGGTTATGTAAATAGCTCAAGGTCACAGGTGAGTAGGTGGCATGTCCACAGTAGGAACCAGGTCACCTGATTTCACTGAATTTTCTCAAATTCACGGTATAGCAAACCTCAGAGCGCACTCCCAAGAACTGATGAAGAGAGCCCTGGGTGCTCAGAGGAGAGAGCTGTGGAAGCCAAGTAAGATGTCATGGTGCGTGAGGGAGGAGAGAAGAAAGACTAGCGTAAAGGAAGTATGGACACCGACTAAATCAAGAGGGGCAGTAAAGGCAGCTGAGCTGACATAAAATAACTTTTAGGAGGTGATTATGTAGTATTTGGGGAGTACTTGTGTTTTGAGTACAGGGCTCATGTAAGGCTCAAGTTTAGAGCGGCCAGGAGGCAATGGCCGTAGTGAAGGGCATCTGTCTTCCAGACTATGGCATCTATGCCTACATTAGACTTGGGGACATTGGAAAGGAGGAGGATGTTGCAGTTGTGTGCTCTTTATCTGAGTAGGACATAAACTTGATACTTCCATTGGCGTCCTCCCGTCTTCCTGCTTCCGGCTGCCTGTTCCTCCCGCGTGGCAGCAGACTGACAGGAACTGGATCCTTGGGTGAAACTGACTGCCAACCCTCTCCCCTTTGCAGACAGTCTTAGACTTTAGTTTTGCCCCCGGAAATTCTGACCAATGTCATGTGCTCTGAGAAAAGTAAACAGCTTGGGCGAACACGGGCCAATTACAAGTATTCTGTGTCAGCTAGTAAGGTGGTAGATAAGGAAATCCATCCCCATCTCTTTCTTCCTCAGGACAACATTGTCCATCTCTAGTCAGCTCAGCCAAGTTCCTATATTCATTCCAACTTCTTTGAACCCAGGATATTTGCCCTGGTCCAAAATTTCAAGTTCAAATTTTGACATATTATTCTTTCCTTCTAAACTAATCTTTTACCTATTCAATTTCTTTTTAATTTATTTAAACTAACAATTATTAATTTTGTGTGTATATATGTGACTATATATGTTTGTGTGTGTGTGTGTGAGTGAAAGGCCCAAAGAAGCCAGAAGAGGGCATCAGATATTCTGAATCTGGAGTTACAGTTGACTGTGAGCTACCCATTGTGGTCCTAGAAACCCAAATCAGTTTCTCTGGATGAGTAGTACATGCTCTTAACTAATAAGCCATCTTTCCAGATCCTCCTAAAAAAAAAATAAAACAAAACAAAAAAAACATTGCATAACCCTCTGCACTCCTAATTCAGCCCAGATTCAACCCCATTCTGGAAGTTCTGTCTTCCACACCAGCCAGTGAAGCAAATGCCTATGCACTGGTGGGAACACACAACAGGTGGTTTTAAGGGAGGGCTTTCCATTAGCCCAGCTGTGAGTCTGATGTTGACAATAAAGACTTTTCAGACTGAATATAAGACAGATGTGTTTATCTTACTTTAGTGATAGAATTTAGCACTGCGATTAATGGAAATGTTTTCCCACAGCTTTCCCAACACTTCTACCACTGCTGCTGCTGCCGCCGCCACCACCACCACCACCACCACTACCACCAACACCACCACAATCATCATCATCACCACTACCACCATGACCACCACCACCACCATCATCAAAGTACATTATCCTTGATTGATACTCAGGGAAATGCTGGACAGGAGAAATCCAGTTTCTTGTATTTGTTAAGATGACAGTCCACTACCCTGACACTACCCTGATCTTCTATCTTGAAACAAGTTGCTGCCTCAACTTTTTTTTCTTTTTTTACACAAAGAATCTTTAATCATACTGTAAAATAAACACAGCACTTGAGGATGAGGAAGACTAACAGACAGAGTTGGACTTTCCCCCAGGCTGTTCCCATCTCTAGTCCACTGAGCTTCAGCTCTTGGCTTCAGTTCTTGTTCTTGCTGCTTTTGTCCTATTCTGTTTACATCTCGGGCTGTTCCCCAGGTGCCTGGGATTCTGGAGATTCAAGCCGCTGGTGAAAGTTCGTTCTCTGTTTCCTCAGTTTTTCAGGAGCTTTTCTCCACAGGATGATCTCCTGTTGCTTGAAGTACCTTCTGTCTTCCTCATCAACAGGCACCAGGTTCAAAAAGCACCTTACTGAAAACTTCTTGTTCACATCTCTCATTGTGGGAGTCGGGTCATATCCTGCTAAGAACAATCTTATTGGAATAGATTCTCCTTTCACGGGTGCACCATCCATTATTTCGTATTTAGCGACTGTTTCTGTTTCTGTTGTGAGGCTGGGTCCGATTCCTGTGATCTCTTTCTTGATCAGTTGTAACTCCATGTGTTGTATTTTTATTCTTACTAATAGGAAGTAAATTTGCCCAACAATCACATCCTTTAAATGATACCTTGACCTATTATATTCAAACTCTATGTGCAGACAATCTTCAATGCCCACTTCCATTTTAATAGAGTTGTTGACTTCAGAATAGGTAGCAAGCTGCTGAACGATAAGATTGTACTCTTTCACTGAGTCTGTCAACTTTCTCACAATCGTCACCTTAAGAAAATACCTCAGGCGGACATTGGCACCGATGTATGACTCATATGGCTTTTCAACTTGCATAAATTCAAAATCATAACTTCTGTTCTGAGTCAGTTCTCCAGGTAAGGCTAGTTCTTTCACTAGGTTTACAAACTCATGAGTATTACTCTTGTCATTGAAAAGTTCAATTTGACCTACAAATTCAATTCTAATTCCTTGATGCTCTAGCCTCTTTCCAGGCTGCTTAAGGGCTAGGTTTACCGTTGTCACCACCGCCGGGTCCCCCACTTCACTTGGCTTTTCCTCGGGAGAACTCCCAGCCCGGTTGCCCGCACCCCGTTGCATGTCACGTGACCGTCGCTGCCTCAACTTTGAATATCATCCTTATTCCTATTTATTTTCCTCAGTTTCTAAATCATAAAAAAAAATCTAAACTTTCTTTTAATCAAATGAAGCTTTCTGGCAGGGCATGATTCATATGTGTTCACTTTAAGTAAGAGAGGGAAGCAAATGTGGTTAAGATTATGCTATCTGGGGATCACTGTAGCAAACCAACTCTCAAATGGTTGAGATGGTAGGAAGATATAAATTTTATCCTTCATTATTCTAGCTTTCATTCTGCTCTGAGAGTACCTCCAGGTCCATGATCTCTCTAGCAAGCAAGGCTACTAAGGTCAAGTTATATCCTTCTGTCTTCCCTCCCTTTCCAAATACTTACATCATCAGAATGCTGATATAAACAGGATGTTAAAGTGAAAAAAATCTAAGATGACAGATACCTTGACCATCTCACTAAAATGTGGAAGTAGATATAAAGTATGCCATGCTTCCGAGGGATAAGGGGTGACTAAGATGGGGGCCCTCCCATGTCGTGTTAGGTCAACAGGCTATACAGACAGCTGGATATGTAGCCTGTGAGACCTTGGTATTGTCTGGTATCCATTTTAATTATTCAAAGGGCACCAGAGGGAGAAGGCCTGTACCTCTTTGACAATAAAGAATTGCTACTGCTTCCAAATTAGCGCATATACCAGACAGCACCCCCCAAAGGATGAGCGAGGTTTTCTCATGGAGTACAAAGGAGTCACGTGGAAGAAACAAAACTGACCCACCAAAATGAAACATCTGAAAAGATTATGGGAGCCCCAAGGGAGATGATGATCTGCAAGGGTGCCTAAAAACAACAATGTGTGGGAAAGACTAAGTGGAGCTAATTGTACAATTAGGATTTGGGATTCTATTAAAAGAAAGAGAGACTTATAAACTCATCTTAGGACAAAAAGCATAATGAATCTTAGCTGATGGCTAGGCATATTCTGCTCTCCCTGTCTTCTCCCCTGTGGCTATAATGTGGTGCTATTAGATTCATCACATAGGACAAGACTGAAGTGCTGGCATCAATCAATATCCAGTGGGGAGAAAGGCAGAGAGGGAAGGACCATGCTCTCCTTCTCTGTCTTTTGACTATTCAAAACCACAGCACAGGAAAAGAAAATAATTGGAATCTACATGAAATTTCCAATGTTTCAATGGAAGTACAGAATCAGACACTTCTGTGAGCTTGAACCACCTCATTTCAGTACCATTATCTAAGGACACACCAAGTAAGCACAATAAGAGACCACTAAATATGGACCACTGACTTTATATAAGTCAAAGTCAAAAGGCCTTAACTTCCATTGCCAGCCCAGGGGATAGATGGATGGATAGATAGATAGATAGGTAGATAGATAGGTAGATAGATAGATAGATAGATAGATAGATAGATAGATAGATAGTAGATAAATGTCAAAATTGTCATTAGGAAAAGGTCTATAGGCTTTAGGAATATATTTTTAGATATAAAAGAAAAAGTTAATGCCAAGTGGTGGTGGTGCACACTTTTAATCCCAGCACTCAAGAGGCAGAGGCAAGAGGATCTCTGTGAATTTGAGGAGTCAGCCTGGTCTACTGTCTCAAAAAACATAAAAGGAAAGCAAAAGGAAAAGAAGGAGGAGGAGGAGGAGGAGGAAGGAAGGAAGGAAGGAAGGAAGGAAGGAAGGAAAAAAAGAAAGAAAGAAAGAAAGAAAGAAAGGAAGGAAGGAAGGAAGGAAGGAAGAAAGAAAGGAAATGTGGTTAGTTTCTATGTTTACTGCAAATAGGGAAATTGACTTGAAGGAGAAAATTGACGAGATGGGCTTTAACATAGGCTCAGAGTAAGGAGATTTTAAAGGGAAGAAATTAGTTTTGGAAATGGCATAGGGGATTGTCCTCTGAGATTGGAACTGAATGGCTGAGAATTAAGTGACCACATAATATAAATTTTGAATTTGATGCAAAAGATTGAGGGAGTTGTAATGCCAAGAAAACATTCTCCTCTGCTCATATAGAAAGAACTTTAGTCCTAGCAATTAAGTACTTGGTCTGACACCATGGTGCCTGAGAAAGCAGAGTTCTTAGAAGTTTCAGCAGAGGCCCGTGAGATAAGCACCCCCGGCTTATCTTTCTAACCTGTATGTCCCAAGTCTTTAAGACTCATTTTCCCCCTCTCTTTCCTTTAATCACAGCTTTCGGCTATAATTAGTAAGAATCCAAGAACATTTACCAATTTAATAAAGTCCAGAGAAACACATGAGGAAAAAGGGAGATTTGTGGAAGAGGGCTTTGACACAGACTACCATAGCTGAGAAAAATGGATATCGTGGAAGAGAGCTAAGGCTATTTAAACCTGTTATTAGAAAAGAGGTCTTGCGTATGTCAAGGTCAAGAAACTGTCCTGTATTTCATTGACACAGTGTGACTATTAACTTCACAGTATCTAGAGTTATCTTGGAAACAGGGCACTGAGCATGCCTGTGAGGGATTATCAAGATTAGGCTAACTCAAGTGGAAAAGCACACATTAACGAGCACCATTCCACTGACTGGGAGAGTGGACTGAGAAAAAAGAAAAATCAGGTCCAGTGCCAGCATCTATTGCTTTCTTATTGAATACAGATGAACTGTCACTACCTGCCATTAGCTCCTGTCACAATGACCTCCCCACCAAGATGGACTGTACCCTCAAAACTGTGAGCCAAAAGAAATCCTTCTTTGCTGAGGCCACTGATGTCAGGAATTTTGTAACAGCAACAGAGTAAGTAACAAATACATATAGATAAACTACTGCCTTTTCTATGTAATTAAAGTTTCTCAAGAGGCAAACTTACAGGTAGAAGCCCGAAGATGGAGACCAGCAAACAACCAAACAAAGCAACTATTGAGTTTACTATCACATATGTGATCTTTGAATCTAAGTCAATTTTGCTAAGTAACATGCCTTTCAGTCTCAACTAAGTAATACAATGCCAGTCGATTACTTTGAGGTTGCTTCTAACATCCATGAGAGCAAAATGGCCAAGTGTGTTGGAAGCAGGCCAGTCATTACTAGTACTTTGCCTTCCCTCCTTCTTCCATATTTGGTGTTTATTCTTTTGAACTAATTAGAGAGCTCATTCAGGTTAACAAATGTTTGGTGCTTTAGAAATAATACCCCAGGCTGGTTAATTTATAAAGAACAAAATTTTAATTCTCGTAGCTTGAGACGCAGGAAGTCCAAAAGCAAGGCACTAGTAGTTTCTATTGTCTTAGTGAGAAGCTGCCTCCTGTTTCTACGACGATACCTCAGTGATACATCTTCCTAAGAGGAAGGACTCAGTCCTCACATGACAGTAGGGGGAAGGAGAAGAGAGTGACCACTATATGGATTTCTCTTATCCACAGGGGAAGGAAGTTTTGTGACCAGGGGGTCACTGGGATCTTAAGTCTGGAGTCCCCCTGGTTCCCTGGTCCTTGTGATCCCTGTCAAAGGGAAAATAGAGTGGAGTGTTGAAGAAAGGCAGTGTTTACCACAGGGTAGAGCAGAAGGCATGCTCGTGGAATGAGAGCAGACTGTGGCCAGCAACCACTGTTCTGATCAATGGTACAGGCAGGCTTTCTGTGACTTTTTATGGGGATCTCTGTGTGATGCTCCATATTGGCTGTTCACTTGATAGGATCTAGAGTCATCTCAAAGATGAATCTTGGCCATGTCTGTGAAGAATTATCTTCTTTAGGTTAATTAAAATGGGAAGACTCACCCCAAGTTTTAGGCAGCTCCATTCTATCGGTCCAGATCCTGAACTGAATTAAAAGGAAAGGTAAGAGATGAACATCGACATCTCTAACTCTCTGCTTACTGACTGTAGACACCATGTGCCTCATGTTCTGATATCATGTTCTCCCTACCATGATGGACGTCCCCCACACTGGGAGTTCACATAAACCTTTCCTTCCTGAAGTTGCTCTGGTCAGGTGTTGCTTAGGTGCTTTGTGGCAGTGATGAGAAACGTTCCTCTGCATTCTGAAACAAGTAGATTTTCCTGAGAGCCTTTGCGATTGATTGATGGTCCTGTTCGGATTGACACGTACAAGAAGGGACAATGGGATGCCTCTGTTCTTTATTGGAAAGCTTCCTTCTCAAAAGTATTCTTACAAGGCTTAGAGTCCCTGTCACCAGGCCTAGTACTTATCCAGTAATGAGCTCTTAGGCAGCTCAGGATGTCATGCTCAGGGTCACATGTGTGACTCTGATTCTATTTTGCTCAGCAGTAATTAAAGTTCCACTATCGCAGTTCTTGATTTTTAGTCTATTGACTATAAAAGAGGAGTCTAGCTGCATGGTCCTCCAAGCATGTTAACATCTATCTAGATGCCTAACATTAATTATCATTTATTAATATCACCTAAGGGGGTCTTGAGTGTTTATTTATTTACTTATTGTTGTTTGGTCTGGCAGGATGGGGATACTTTATCACTAAGCGAAATGTCTGGTTGGTCCTGGCTTTAGGTTTCACAACTTACATTTCAGAGAGGACTCTTAAAACCCTCACATTCTTCCTTTTTTTCTTGATGGGCTCTGTAGGGTTTTATAGTTTACATGTTAAGCTTGAAGCTCATTTATACTAAGCCTACCATTTTGGAATTCTTGCTATATGAAAAATACTCTACTAGTTCCCGGGGAACAGATGATCAACTGGACACCATGTCCTTTCCTCACAATCCCATGAGGTCTCATTGAGAAGAGACAGAAATCCAACACACACAATGCAGGTAGTGAGAGCTATCCTGGGCCTGGGGTTCTGCCTCACGGCTTCATGTGTATCCCTTCAATCAATTTTCGCAGATATGTTACCCTTAAGATAGAGACTATGTTTCTATTTTTAGAATTCCTCTTTTAAAATGTACATTAAAAGTGTTAACAGTCTCTCTGTACCAACAATATATTTTTTAGAGTAATTTATCTTTCAGATCAATTTTAGGTCTCAGATCAGTATCAGATAGTGCTCC